ATATATATATATATATATATATATATATAACAATAAAAACGAGTTTTGTACAGTAAGAAAATACAAAAACCATTCTTTCACGGCCTCAGTAAAGAGCAACTTTTAAAAGACTGAACCACGAGTCTTGAAAATGTGCAAAGTTCATAAAATTTACAATCTAATTCCGCACATAAAAATACGCGTTAATCACTTCCGATTCAATACAAAAAAGGTTTAAAAATAAGACACTTAAATAACCCTGTTTTGGGACAGTTAAATGTTTTATTTGCTAATTAAAATATATTACACTTAACGAATTTGAGGTTAATCACATCTGAATCAATGTACAAAACAGATTAAAACAAATGACTTACATATAACCTGCTTTGGTGATTTTTTCTCGTAAATTAAAAAAATATATATTATATTTCAATATTTAGACTATTCTGTAGAAGTACTACATTTTTCAGTATGGCCAGGTGGTTAGGGCGCTCGACTCGTAATTTGAGGGTCGCGGGTTCGAATCCCCGTCACACCAAACATGCTCACCCTTTCAGCCGTGGGGGCGTTATAATGTGAGGATCAATCCCACTATTCGATGGTAAAAGAGTAGCCCAAGAGTTGGCGGTGGGTGGTGATGACTAGCTGTCTTCCCTCTAGTCTTACACTGCTAAATTGGGGACGGCTAGCGCAGATAGCCCTCGTGTAGCTTTGCGCGAAATTCAAAACAAACAAACAATTTTCCAGTATATAAGCTTCTACCAAATGGCTAATGATATATATATATATATATAATTTTGACGGTTCCTTCAAAGCTAGCTTCTTGAATCGTAAATAACCAGTAGAGACATCTATAATACCAAAAGCATTTGTGTAATTTATTAAATTCATTTAATTTAATTTTAGTTCAGACTGTTTATTGAAATACTCACTTTAATTCTTAACTGTACTTAATAATTATTATTAACTAATGATTTATTAAATTAAATATTGATAATGAATAATAACTATTCTGTTGCCTAGAGTATAAAAATTTTAATAAAGAGGATCCAAAAAAATGGAAAATGCAAAATTGAACTCAACAACGCCCTGATAAATATCGAATTGACAAAGAACACAAAAACCTATAGAATTTCAGAGAAAACGTTCCACTACAAAAGCCACATTCAGAATAGGAGCAAAATCGACTTGTTTGTACTGCCAGTATAAATATTACACGTTAGGGTTAAAGTTTTATTATATTTGGTGAATGGTTTTAAAAATGCCTGAACAAATACGAGCGTTATTTGCTGTTGACTTTTACTGTGTGTGTGTGTGTACTTGAGAGGTGCGGGATATAGTAATACGATAATTGTTCACAAACGTAACTACAATATTTGGCTAGTAGATAATGTCCATAATTAATCATACGAGTCATTATAAATACTAAAAGCGACAACAATGGTCTAGCTCAGGGGGTTCTCAAACTTTAGTAACCATAGCAACCCTTTTCACTATAAAAATTTTGCAGATCCCCAAACCCATCGATGATTCCGTGCACATGAAAAGCTGTATTCCAAAATTAAATATTTTAATTCATATAAATTTGATTATACTAAAAATAGTTTCTATTCTACAAATCATATTTTTAAAATATTCTTATGAAATTTCAGACATGATTCGCCGACCCCTGGTGGTCGTTGGTACCCACTTTGAGAAACGCTGGTTTACCTTATTGGAACGGTAATACGTTTTGAATCACTAAATTTACATAACAAAGCCGCAGTGCTAAGTACGTATCGTTCTTTGTTTTTCTAACTCGGTGACGTTTCGACAAGAGATAGGTTCTTTACACTAAGTGTTGCAAAATCATAAAATTACTCAACATATGGCCCGGCCTGGCCTGGTGGTTAGGGCGCTCGACTCGCAATCTGAGGCTCGCAGGTTCGAATCCCCGTCCCCTCAAACATGCTCGTCCTTTCAGCCGTGGGGCGTTATAACGTGACGGTGAATCCCACTATTCATTAGTAAAAGAGTAGCCCAAAAGTTGGCGGTGGGTGATGATGAGTAGCTGCCTTCCTTCTCGTCTATCACTGCTAAATTAGGGACGGCTAGCGCAGATAGCCCTCGTGTAGCTTTACGTGAAATTCAAAACAAACAAACATTCTATCGTGTGTTTTTGTTTTGTTTCTCCAAAAGGACTTGCTCTGAGATGTGTGGAATTTATTTAGCTTTATCCGCCGTTAGGGTATGAGAAAAACAAACTTTTTCTCGTGCATTTACTCACTTGCTTTAGAAAACAGAAGCCCACTCATAAAGAGAGAGAAAAATTTTAAGCAGCCACCACCGTGTCTTATAAGATTTTTCAGTGACACTCTTCCGATAACAAGGGTTCTTTGATATTTCTCGACTAAAAGAATTACAGTTTAAAAAAAGGAGACATAGATGAGGGTTCTTTAAAAAAATCACTAAAACTCCTCTTTTTACGTTGAAAAATAGTTAAAGTTCGTTATAACTTCTCTGACGAAGGCACCTTATACGTAATAGAAGACAATACTGATCACGACGCGCCTCTGTCTCATTTGCATAACGATCAAAATAAATTGTCCAAGACGATGAAACGTGTGTTTTATACGTCATTCGTATTATAGCTATTGTTTTAATTGTGTTTAAATTTGATTTTCTGGATTTAAATGTGTGTGTGTGATTTACTATATTTTAATACGGGTTTTAGTTTAAATCGAATTGGTTTGTTTGTGTAGAATTTTCGCGCAAAGCTAAGCAAGTGACATCTTCATTAGCTGTGTCTCATTTTCAACAATCAGACTCAAGAGAATACAACTAGCATACAATGCCAATACTTGAGCTACTCTTGATTTAGCGAGTAGTGGGATTTAATCTCAACTCCTATAGCGCATGCGCGGCCCCATAGTACAGGCACGTAAACCATTAAGCCAAGCCTGGCTCTTGTCCCCCCTATGGGACAGCGGTAAATCTATGGATTTACACAGCTAAAACCTAGGGTTCGATTCCCCGCAATGGACACAGCAGATAGCCCAGTGTGGCTTAGCTGTAAAATAACCAAACTCACTCTGGCTTTTTAAGTTGGATCTGATAAGCTATAAATTTAATTTGAAGACAACGTTTCAGGAAATAATATGTACGAAAAAAGATTTTGGTATCAACATATTTCTTATTTATCTTAATATCTCTTTCGAATGTTTATAAAATTTATAGTAGGTTAACGATCTTACAGTTATCATTTCGCAAAGAAACTTAGCTACTGCTAGTTATTAAAACTACAACAACAGTACCTCAAATCCCTTATCGCTGTTAACAATAGTTAAACAAGTATTTATGAACAATGAAGTCTAAAGTTACAGTTTCCTTTCATGTGATTCGAGTTATTTACATAGATATTTACAATACACTGAAAATAAATCCGAACTCATACTGATCTACATACGTACAGAACATCTTTCAGTTATTATTTACTATCAAGTTTTATAAATGATGAATGACAACAACGTGATGTGATAACTTTGAAGAACAACTCTTATTTAAAACACACTAAATTCAAATATAATAAAAACTCCGATTGGATAGGACAGAACGCTTGATGTATATTTATATCAAAAGTAATATCTACACATACTTTAACTCACTTTCTTTGTGGGAAAACATGCGTAGTAAATACAACTTAACTAAAGTCAGTTTTTATCGTTAATAACGGGGAAAAGTTTTCTCGTGTGAAACTGGGTCATTTTTCCGCCAACAATTTGAACTTAAGCTCAATAAATTACGTGAAAAGTATCACATGCAGCAACATAATTACAGATCCAAGATCAAGCTAATAATATGGATTTAATTTGCAACAACATAAATACAGATCCAAGATCAAGCTAATAATATGGATTTAATTTGCAACAACATAAATACAGATCCAAGATCAAGCTAATAATGTGGATTTAATTTGCAACAACATAAATACAGATCCAAGATCAAGCTAATAATATGGATTTAATTTGCAACAACAAAAATACAGATCCAAGATCAAGCTCATAATATGGATTTAATTTGCAACAACATAAATACAGATCCAAGATCAAGCTAATAATATGGATTTAATTTGCAACAACATAAATACAGATCCAAGATCAAGCTAATAATATGGATTTAATTTGCAGCAACATAAATAAAGATCCAAGATCAAGCTAATAATTTGGATTTAATTCAAAGAATTTTCCGACGTCAACTTTTTTTCTCTCTCTCTCTCTTACATTAGAATCCCGTGTGTTTTCCTATCTGAACAGATGGTGCGACATGATAAATCACTGTTATTCCTCCCAGAGTTCTGATTGAACCAGATATCGGAAATACTGCTGTGTTCTCTTTACCTTAAAGTCCCACATTGCCTGGTATAATTCAAATAAATAACAGTTTCAATCAAAAGTTTCAAAAGGTATATAGACCTAACCACTCTACAGAATCGATCTGGAGTTGGAGCTAATCTGTATACTAGTCATTTTGTGGCCCGGTGATTTATTCTTTCAGTCTGCTATTTCTTTTAGATTATATCAAAGAAAGGATCCCAAGCTACATCCAAGTTACATAAAGATAGAAATACCACAATCTCCCATTTTCTTGAAAAGTGTTGAACAGGATGTTTTAAGTCTAGCTTTCATAGATTCCACAATCTCCCTTTTTCTTGAAAAGTGTTAAACAGGATGTTTTAAGTCTAGCTTTCATAGATTTCACATATCACGTGTAATTAATAATATTTCTTTCCCAGTGCCTCTTCAAAAAGACTATAATGCTTCATTAAGAGAACTGTCACCCCCTTTAAAAAACTATAAGCAGGAGACTTTAATCCGCCTTTAGAGAGGCCATAAATTGTCATTAAAGAAGTTTCAATCAGTGTTCAAGAAGTTTATGACTCATTTTTAAAAAGCTATAACTTGTTAAAGAAGACTTAAACCCTTTTTAACGAAACTATAGTTATCCTTTAAGAATTCTGTAAATTTCTTTATTTTTTAAAATCAATAATTCGTTTTTAAGAAGGCTATGATGTCCAGTTACTGGCACACTATCACTCCCCTAAGATTTTCTTCCTTTGACATTTCACCTATAAATTATGACGACGACGATATGCACAATATATATTGCTACTATGCATATGTTATACGAGCTACAAATTACTCTCAAACTTTTAATTCCGACTCTCTATTTTAAATGCTGGAATTAGCTATTATTTAATTAATTTACATAATCTTAACCCAAACCTTAGTCAATGTATGAAGGAGTAACTAACTTTACAGCTACCTTTTTCCGTTTGTTTGTTTTTTATCCGGTTCCTAAGAACATTCTTTTTGGCAAGATAATTGTCATAACCTGGACGAAGGTTAACACAACGTAGTGAAGTTTACAGTTGATAAATGAGCTGTTGGACATATAAATAGCCTTCATAATCTGGACGAAGGTTAACTCAACGTAGTGAAGTTTACAGTTGACAAATGAGCTGTTGGACATATACTATCCAATTAAATAGCCTTCATAATCTGGACGAAGGTTAACTCAACGTAGTGAAGTTTACAGTTGATAAATGAGCTGTTGGACATATAAATAGCCTTCATAATCTGGACGAAGGTTAACACAACGTAGTGAAGTTTACAGTTGACAAATGAGCTGTTGGACATATACTATCTTCATAACCTGGAAAGGTCTACAGTAGAACGCGAAATGCACTTTTGCATCACAGTATCGATATTAAAGGTACCTTAAAGGAGACCAAACCAAATAGTTCCTTAATCAGTCACCATTTGTAAGATATTGTTATAAGGTATTTTATCATTGGGTGGGTTCTTTTGGATTATTTGGTAAAAATACTGCCAAATCCATTTAACGATGGCGAACTTATTTCATCACTAACCGTTTTATACAGCCGCGTTCACTGGTGGGCCTGACTTCACAAACACACTTTTCAAATGTAATGTTCCAACAGAAATTTTAAAACTAATGGGACTTACGCCTAACTTAGTTACAAAATTACTTCGCAAAACTAAGCGATTAATAGACAAGAGGGCTAACTTAAAAAGTAACTGAATAAGTGTCACAACTAATACTGAACTGAATAACTCGTTGGTTATTCAATAACTCATTAACTGATTGCTTCACTAGACCTCATATTCATATTGTTCCCTTGTTTCTACATACTGCTCGAAATGACTAGATTCTAAATGTACAGAAACCTTACATGAACTCTCTCGATCTGCTCTCTAGCAAACATCTACGTTACAACATTAAAAATATAGCTTACAAAAGCATTATTAAATAACTATTTTTGAAGTGTGTAGCTTATCGAAATCAAACACGTTTATAGATTGCTGTATTATATTCATAGTTACTACTTTGTAGCGCCATCTTAATATCTAATTTTAAAGAAAGTAGAAATCACAAATTCGACTTACGCCACATGTACAAAACATACGATTTAATGATACAAGTTTTAACACTATTTTGAATTCATCTTTCAGTTTACAAGTACGTATATATATATATATATATATATATATATATATATATATATATAT